TCCATAACTCGCTCCATAGTTTTAAAGTATGACCCATTAACTTAATTCCTCAACAGTTTGCACAATCTTGTGCATCATCTTTATTCTTAAAAATACCAATTAACACACAAATTCTCTACTCATCTAGAGTCTTTTTAGTCTTTGAAACAATATTAAAAAGATTAGTAAGACAAGAAATTCCTTCATCTCCTAAGCATTTCCATGTCATTATTGGAATATAATCAGGTTCAACAACTTTTCCACATTTCATTTTCTTTAAAACATCTTTAACATTGATTTTACTAATACGTCGATAAAAATAGAAATCTTTTTTTTCATTTAAGGTGCTAAGGTCACTAAATTCAATCATATTTTCATATTCTTCATTAAAAACTTTAGAAAAATATCTCATCAACCTTTGTTGAACAACATCTTCTAAGAAAAGTACTTTTGTTCATAACCCTTAATACACTTCACTTGAACTAAATCCTTACTACTCCTATCTCTTTATTTGAAAAACATATACATATATATTTCTCCCTCCTTAGAATCTAATCTATTAAATAAATCATTAAAATCTACTTTGCATCACATATTTCTTTCTTAGATTCTTTACGTGTCTCTTTATATCTTTCCTAATTATCAAAATTTTACGTCTAAACAAATTTTTTTAACAAATCTTCATATTTTTTTTATCTTTTTTGCACATTTAGATTTTATCAAAAACTATTTTTACTATTAGGAGATTTCTATTGATACTCCAAGCACATCTTTTACATTATTCTTAACATCGCTAGCCACCTTTTCCCACATAACATTAGCATCCTCAAGGACATACAAAATCTTAAGATCTAAAATCTTAAACTCAATATTTTGTTTATATTCTTTAAATACCCCAATCTAATACTCAAATATCTTTTATAATATTTTTTTATTTTATACCACTTTATCTTAATGTCCAAAACTAATAATAAATGTTGGGTACATACGGTATAACTTTATAATCTTTGTAATCTAGATGATCTAATTTTCATAAGAAAATAATCAATATTAGTTTTACCATATCCATTTTTAGAAGTGATTAGAAGCTCGTATATTTTCTTAAATAAGGTATTAGCAATTAAAATTTTCAAGCTAAAGAAAAATCTAATATGGTCTTACCACCTTCATTTGTCATTCGAAACCCATGGCCACCTTAAATAGTTTTAAAATCATCTATCACTCTACCAACATGTCTATTTAAATCTTCTCCAATAAAAACACTTTCATTAAAAGGTATCTTTTTTATTAATTCCTTTAAGTAATTCCAAAATTTTAATTTTAAACCTATATCCAAACCTACTTGAGGGGCATATACACATGAACATAATATTTATCAATCTTTTTATGAATCAATATCTATTAATTCCATTAATTATTTTTATAAGTGAACCTATATTCCAAGTTTCTATCTTAATCTTAGTTTCACATGGACAAGATTCTTTTCCCTCATCTAGCCTTGTTTTGAAAACACTTACATATTTAACACTACACCCGGGTGCGGATGCAACGGGCTTGCACACTTATTGTTGAATTTATGCCATGCAGTGCATCACTTCTAGGGGACGTCCTGACATTAACATAATTTTTAAAAGGATTCATGTCATAATTATTTGTTAAGTTTTATGCTGGCCATCAACTACCAAATGCAACCATCCACTTTTCTCATCTAGGATTTAAGACCTTGCAATGGCAGTGTTAATTCCTGTGAATGTTGTTTATGGTAATGATTACAAAATTGTTGAGGATGTGTCTCTTGTATCTAAGGTGATGGAAAAGAATTCTCCTAAGTCTTTTCATCATAAGAATAAATTCAGTAAAAATTTGAGAATATTAGGTCCTATAAACGATAGCCAAAGAATTAGAAGAGAAGGTAGTATTCATGAAGGGGCAGGGGCCTCATCCCAATATATTTCATAATGTCTTCTATATTTTTTTTAATTTTAAGGAAGTTAATCAAAAAGAAGCTTCCTATTATTTGAGAAGTTTGGTTGTATATAATAGTGTTATCTTTGTTGGTTTAATGGAAACTAAATTAGATTCCATGGATATTAATGAAGTTCGAAAAATTATTGGGAATGAATGGGATTTCTTTCATTTTGCTGATAGAGGAACTTCATGTGGCATTCATGCCTTATGGAGAAATGGTGTTTCTTCTTTTTAAATTTTAAATTCTTCCAATAAATGTGCTTTTGGAAATTTAAATTCTCCTAATGGTATTATATGGACTATTCACATGTAATCCATGTTAATAAGGATCTTCATGAAAGAAGAAACTTATAGAAAATGATTGAAGAATATACATCTAATGATAAATCATTCATTATGGAAGGAGATTATAATTGTATTTTGTCCAAGAAATAAATGAAAGGTAGAAAAAGATTTATTTTTTCACTGAATTTATTCTTTATAACAATAAAATTTTATCATGATATTGACATTGTTGATCCTAAATACATTTGGTATAACAATAATAAATGGACTTTCTCATATATGGGAAAGATTAGATAGAATTTGTTTAAATTCTCAATCATTATTAAATCTTCCATTTGTTGCAATAAGACATTTATTAAGAGTTGCTTCAGATCATTGTCCAATATTGCTTAATTTAAACAACTCATTTTATTTCAATCAAAAAGTCACCATATTTGAGAATGTGTGGTGTTCTTATGAAGCATCTTGGGGTATTGTTAATAAAGCTTGGAAAAATAAGATTTTGGATCTACAGCTGATATTCTTCAAAGGAAAGTTAAAAGATATCTTAAAATTTTGTTTTTTTTTTTGGAGTAAAATAATTAAAAAGATCTAAACAATCTTAAAGCTATGGTAAAAGATGATATAATCTTATTGCAAGAGGAGGAAAGTTTTTTGGATGGTCTTAATCTGAACAAGTTCCTTAAATTGAGGGAAACGTTCATGAATTGAATGTTACCCTTGCTAGACTTGCAACTTGGTGGAGACAATGCTCTAAATCACAATGATTGGAAGAAAGTGATCAAAACTCTTAGTTTTTCATGTTATTGCTACAACTAGAAGAAATGGGAATATGATTAATAAAATTTCTTTTTCTAATGGCAAAATTGAGATAGATCTTGATTTGATATAGTTAACTTTCAAGATTTTTTTTTAGAAAAAATAGAAAAAAAAAAAGAAAAGATAACGCATCTTACAAAATTTGCTATCCTTTAATTTGAACATTGGTTGAATTAAGAAATGATATAAATGCTAACAACAAATTTTAATAAAGAAGATATTTTTTCTACGGTTATGAAGATGGATACTAATTAATCTCCTAAAGCAAATGGTCTAAATGCTTATTTTTTTAGATCTTTTTTGGAATATAGTAAAGAATGAAATTTGGAATGCTATTGAAAACTTCTTTTCTTTGCGTATTATGCTTGATTTTTAGAAAGAAACTTTGGTTGTACCGATTCTAAAGTCCCTAATGTTTCATAATTAACAAAATTCAAGCCGATCAGCTTATGTCAAACCATCTATAAAATTGTATCTGAAATGATGTTAAATAGATTGAAGAATTGTCTTCTTTCGATTATCTCTAAATTGCAAGGAGCTTTTATGCTAGGAAGATCTATTTTAGATAAAGTTTTGTTAGCTTATGATATATTAAATAAATTCATATTTTCTATAGCTAAACATGGGCTTATATTAATAAAATTAGGCATTGAACAAGCATATAATAGCATGTGTTGGGATACATTATATCAAATTTTAAGTGTTATGGGTTTCCCACTGAAGATTATAAACTTGATTACTAAGTGAATAAACCATCTAAAACTCTCTATTATCATTAATGGAAGGAAAACTTATAGGATAAAAGCTAAATGCGATTTTTGACAAGGATGTCTATTATCTCCTTGTCTATTTATCTTGTGTTATAAATTACTTTCAAAAGCATTCCATGAGAAAGAAAGAGAGCTTGGTATTAAACTTGCACCAATTATAAAAAAAATTCTTATATGTTGTATATTGACCATGTTTTAGTTGTATTTGAAGCTTCAAAGTACAATGCTAATCTAATTAATAGAATTTTGATTGACTATTGTAGTTGGACTAGACAGTATATAAATACATGGCTCTTTTGGAAAAGTTTTATGTAGAAGAAGGAAACAAAAGTAAAGAAAAATTATAGTATTTGTTCTGTTCTTGAAATCACATTTTTAGGTGCAAAGATGGCTTTGGGAATACTGAAGGCTAATGATTACCAAACTATTTTTGATAAGGCTATGGATAGACATAATACTTGGGGATCTCATACTCTTTCATTGGCTAGAAGAATAATGATGATAAAAATTGCTTTTAATATATTCCCTCATTTATTATGAGTCATTCATTAATTCCAAATGGTGTTTTAAATGATAATGACATGTTTTGTAGAAACTTCTTGGCAAAAGGAGCAAGGAAGATAGGGGTTACATTATATTTCTTGGAATACTCTATGTACTCTTACTAATCAAGATGGTCTTGGAATTCAAGGTGCAATTGAAAGAGAGGGTCTGTTAAGGGCACATATTACTTGGAATTTTATTTAAAATCATGACTTTATTCTAAATAAAATAATGATGGAAAAATATGTTACTGACATATGGAAAGAGGTAATAAAAAGATGTTCATCGCTAGCTTGGCATATAATAAAGGGTAAAGGGGATATTTATTTTTGGCAAGATAATTGGTTAGGGATGGGTTCCATTGACAATTTAATTTCTTCTCATACCATTTGTTCTACCAAGGTAAATTCTTTGATTGACAGAGGTTCTTGGAATGCTGATATGTTGAAACCTCTTTTACCTGAGACTATTTTTCATCAAATTTTAAGCATTCCTTTAAATATTATTGAGAATGACCGGATTTTATTTAAAACTTCTACTAATGGTCTTTTTAGCATTAAAGAGGCTTGGAATGATTTTAGAATCATAAAGGATTCTTCTAGGATTTTTGCTAATATTTGGCATAATAATATCCCTATGTCGTATTCTATCCTTACTTGGAGGTGTTTGAAGGGTTTTCTGCCGGTGGATGTCAGGCTATGGAGAAAAGGTTTCTACTTACCTTCTAAATGTCATTGCTGTGCTGAGATTGAAGATATTAAACATGTTTTTCTTTTTGGTAAGATTGCTCAAAAAGTGTGGACGTATTATGCGCTTTTGGTTAATAAGCCTGTGCCTGATTGTACTTCCTTCGATCAGGTGTCTGTTTTGTCGGTGTTAACTGACTGGATGTCTAATGTTAGAGGCAATGTTCTTAATATTCTTCATATTTGCATTCTTTGGTTTCTTTGGAAAGCCAGGAATGAGGCTAAGCATGATGGGATTAAAAAGAAAGATACTGTTATTATTTCTAATATCAATCATAGATTATTGCAGTTTTTTAATGCTAAGCTTATTAATTCTTATAATATGTCCAACTGTCAGGATTTGTGTGTTAAGCTGGGTATGAGTATTCAATTGGAGGACGTTATTAGGAGGGAGAGAATTGTGAGATGGTTAAAACCCAAGGCTCCGGCCATCAAGTTAAATTCTGATGGGTCTGTTGATAATTATTCTGCTGGGTTTGGGGGTCTTATCCGGGATTCTTCTGGTAAAGTCATTGTGGCTTTTGCTGGCCCTCTTCCTCCGTGTATGGTCATTTATGCTGAGTTAATGGGGCTGTTAAAAGGGCTGAATATTTGTATTAAGAGAGGGTTCATTTATGTTGAGATTGAGGTGGATGCTTTAAACGTTATTCAAATTATCAATTCGACCCATATTTCTTATCCGCAATTTTTTTATCTCATTAGAGAAATTAAGTCTGCTCTGTCTAATCTTAATTTTACTTTGGCTCATCTGCTTAGAGAGGGTAATGCCTGTGCTGATGCTTTAGCTAAACTTGGCAGCACGTTGGAGGAAGAGAGGGAATTTGATATGGATAATTTGCCTAGGCTGGTGAAAGGTTTGGTGAAGATGGATAAGTCGAGCATGCCGTATATTCGTTTTAATTAATTCATGTTTCTGTTGTTTCTTCTTTTTATTGGGCGGTCTTTGCGGTTGTTTTTGTTTCTGCTGTATTCTTCACAGCGGCTGCAATTTTTTGTTAACCTGGGTTGTTATTTTGAGATCGGGAGGGCTGTTTTTATTTTGGAGTTCAAGTTTCTGGGTAAGTGTCTTGAGATCGGGATGTTTGTTCTTCAGTTGATTCTCAAGGCTTGGTTGTTCACCTATCATAGTATATTATGTCGCAAAATGGGCTTTAACTTCAAAATTTGGTATCCTATACAATTTTTGTGCATGACTAATAGTTTTTTTGGAGTCTCCCTTGCAGGCTACATTTCACTAAAAGCCTATTTACGTGCAACATTTAAACTTCTTGATCAAGTGGGCATATTGAACAACTGCAAGGTACTCTTTATTTCTAGTTTTTTTGTTTTCCTTTGTCGTTTTCTTCACTTTTGCAGGAAGATGGTGCTGAATGCTGATTTAAGGATCTTCCTTTTTTGGGTGCTGTCTACTTACAGCCCGAGAGTTTTCCTTTATTATTTTTGTAACCTTAGATCAAGGAACCACCGGCTCTTAGGTTTTTTTTCTTTTAATCTTGTAGCTCTTTTGAGCAGTAGAGGGCTGGAGGTTCCTTTTAAGGACTTTGTAACCATTTTTTGGATATTAACACGTAGGCCCCTCCGTGGGTTTTAAATAAAAAAAAAAGATGGAATCATACTATTTTAAAGAAGTATTTTTCTATTGATTTTCTTTTTTTTGAAAGATGCATATAGCATTGAAATAAGAAGAAGCTATTACAAACTAGTACCTAGGTAATCCTTTAAAAGAGGAAGGAAGCCTTTATTAGAAGAAATTTAAGCATAGAGAAAAAATAAAGAAAAAAGAGACTATCATAATGAAAATAAGATCCTCTACTTATCATTTTAAACCAATTGGGGTGGAGGGGATACCAAAGATTAAACAAGAACCAAAAAGGCTGATTAGTATCCCAAAATTCCTGATTAGGTAAAAAACAAAAAATAGAGAGATGCTTATGTTCCACTAATCTAGCTTCCTATTCCAAATTCCAACTTATGCTCAAATTAAAACTAGAAAACATAAAAAACTAAACAAATAACATTAAAAAAAAAAAACAATTACAGCCGCTGAGTAATAAACTTTCATCTTCTCATCTTCACTAATTATGTCATTCTCAATCTTCGACTTCTTTGCCCAATGCACGAGCCAACCTTTGAATTTTCAAATGTAATTATAACCATATCAAGAGGCAAATGATGAAGTGGATCTAACACTATCACCAAGAATACCCAACTTTTTTCCTCTTAGGCTTCCTTTGATTTGACCAAATACATTCAAATCTTTATTGAATTTTTTCTTCAAATTTACTTTTCACGTTGAATTCCTTATCCAAAGGAGTGATAGAACTTTGCAATCCATCCAATACTTTCATGTCTGTCTCCTGCTCTTTGCACTTCAAATGATTAACCAGATTAATTTCTTCATTAACTTTGAATCTTTGTTTTCAATATTCTCAAAACTAATAACCTTTAATTTTTCTGCCTCAACTTATTCCAGAATAGTAGAACAATCATGCAATACTTCTGCCACTCCAGCAAACTCAGCACTTTGATTAATTTCACCCTCTTCTAGTTGTTCCGGTTCAACACTCACCAAACCAAAATTTGTAATTTTTTCTTCTATTACCGTGACTTGAAAATCTGGATCTAACCTGTTATCTTTGGCTAGGAGTTCATGATCTTCAGCATCCATCCTAACCAATTCTTCAGCAAAAACCAGGGAAAGTAATTTGAATTTGTTTCCAGATTGCTCTTCCACCGGTGCCAAGTTATTTTCAGTATTCTTCATCTCAGATGAAACCTGAGATTTATGTTTATGAAATCTTCTATTCCTCTTGAACTTCACATGAATCCAAGGACCATAAGAGTTTTGTGGATTTTCATTATCCAATTTGTCCTTCAATTTCATATCATAACCTGATCCAAGCATTTTTGAATTCACCACATTGATTCCTTTAGCTTCATCTAAAACTTCATTGCTCACTCCTTTATCAATTTCTATACATGCCTCCATTCTATGACCTAATTTTCCACAATTGAAACAATAAGAGGAAATATTTTCATATTCAATTTTCTGAAAAAAAATTTTCATGTAACCCTTCAATCCAAACTCCATGAGGTAACTTAGAGTCTAGATTAATTCGTACACATGCTCTAGTAAATTCACACCTTCCCCATGAACATTTTCCCATCCAATAACAAGGGAACTCTTATCTTTGAGACAATTTTTGTAACATTAGTCTCATCCCAACAATGTAGAGGCAAATAAGGTAAATGAATCCAAATCGGAGATGATAGCCCTTTCAAAAAAGTAGGGGAAAATTGAGGAGTCCATTTATCCATTCCTATAATGTGCCCTCCCACATACCATGGACCTCCATTCAATACCTCTTCCATTATCTGATTAGAATGAAATGAACACAAAATCCATTCAACTCCCAACGAGGTAATATGAAACTTCCAAATTTATCCCATTGACGCCTTAATTCAATGCTACAAAGAGAAAATGGGATTCCTTTCCCAAACACCTTCAATATAAGAGATTTTTGAAGCAATTTAACATTTTTAGCAACCTTATTCAAGTCAAGTTTTACTACTTCTGAGTCAATATTTTCTTCCAACTCTGGATGAATTGGAGTAGCTACTATATGTTGATTCTTAGACAAAACATTTAGTGAATTTAAATTCTCACTATTTAGTAAGATATCTTGATCAACTGCTAATTGATTCCCAACCCCAAAAATCAATCCTTCAGCTTCCTTAGTTTTCATCAAATTCAAATTTAAAAGCTCCTAATTTTTCACCTCAACACAAGGTAAATTTGAAAATTTCTTTACATTCAATTTACAACCAATAGAGGATGAAGCCTCCGAGACATTAGCCACACCAGTCGTCCAATTCTTCAATGGGGAGGAAGGAATCACTGGAATCTTTTTTCTCAAATTTTTCAAAGTTTCTTTACCTTTACCCAGAACCGGAACCACCATTTGATTAGGAAGAGTTCGACCTTCAGTGATAACCAAAGGTCTTTTGATCACTAATTCCTAGTTCCATGCGTTACTACCATTGGTTCTGCAATGATTAGAATCAAAGGGAGACCTAGTAGAATGGAATTTTGAGGTATTCTGGTCATCCGGAGATGATGATCAGTAACACTCCACCATCCTTCAACCGGAACCATAAGATCAGGATCAGAAAATTTGAAAATTAGTAAATTCTTCTCTCTAGAATTCAAGAGTCTCTCTCTCTAGAATTCGGGAGAGAGATTATTGATTTGGTAAAAATTATTATAGAAATTCCTATTATATCATATTCTATTGATGACAAATTTGAATTAATTGTATCATATTCTAGAAAATTAGTTACTACAATGTCATTTGAAGCTTCCTTTAAAGTTCAATAAGATGTTGGTATAAATATGAGATGGTTGAAAAAAGTAAGGGAGAGACCCAATGAATATTTATTTTGGTGAAGACTTTTAAATAATGCTCTCCAACTAATTTGTGTTTGAATTATAGAAAATTGCATTATTGTATTACTTCTTTGAGAGCTTGCCAGGACATTGAAGATGTATATCATATTGCATTCATTGCAATAAGTTAATTGAAGTCTTTGAGATATTTAAACAAGTATTCATTTACCAAAATTTCAAAGTTTATCTCTTTACTCTTATAATATGGAAAAGACATCTAATACTAATCTAGAATTAGTCATAATTTTTATTTCTTTAGTTAATCAGATTTGGAAAGCCATAAATTATTTTAAGCATGGAATTTTTTTCCTTCATCTTCAATGATTGCATCTCAAATTCTTTCTCAAACAATCCAACAACATTTGTTTCCAATTGGTTAGAACTGGGATATTAGCCAGCATGATGTGTTGTTTAAAAATTGGTATCCCCCTCAAATTTTATCAAGTTGAATGTAGGTGCCTCGCTTTTGCAGTCTAACATGGCGGGAATAGTTGTTGTGTTACAAGATCATAAAGGAAGGTTTTTACTTGCATATGGGAAAAAAATTATTGCATTGAGATATATCTCTATTGGAATTGATAGCAATTTTTTATTTCAAAATATTTATTCAAGAATGGATGATTGACAAGAAAGATATTAATATTGAAGGAGATAATGTTAACATTATCAATTTGTTGCAGAATTCAATTTTGAAGACCAAAGAATTCAATAAAGGAATTCAATAAATGGACTTTTCATTTTTAGAATATTTTAAAATGTAATTTTTTAATTTGTTTCTAGATATAGCTATAGATTGGCTTATTTCTTTTCTCATCAAGCCCTATTAAGTGATTTCTTTTGGGATGTTTTTGTTGATAGTGAACTTCAATTTTTGTTGACTTGATAAAGAAGGATTGTGATAGTTTCACTATCACGTAGTATCATGTATCTTTTTCTTTTTTGTTTAATGCTATTTGCATATGTGCAAAATAATAATATTAATAATGATTTGAATAAATTAAGAAATTTTGATATTTAATGAGCATTCTACCTAAATTGAATAATATTATACAAGCTAAGTAATAGAATGTAAGAATTAATAAAATAAATTTATTATAGAATATAATGTGGAACATATTAATGATTATTCAATTCATCATTTCATAATTAATTAAATACTCAAATCTTATGGGTCAAGTCGTCAAGATAATGTTTGATCAATCATTTATGGATAGTTTGATCAAGTGAAAAATCTCTTCATGAAGTGAACACTATTGAAAATATTGTTTTCTAGTAGTTTTTTTGTGATTTTTTTGCTGCCGGACAAAATAATTTCAAGCAAAATTTGGGTTTAATTTTCTGTGGTTTTTTTCTAGAGGAAATCCCACTGTAAACTCTGCGGTGAAATTTCTGTTGGAAAACTTGCAGGCTTACTCAAAGACGCGAATAATTTCAAGCAAAAATTTTGCCAGAGACTATATCGACAATCACTAGTGGAAAATTGCCCATTTCTTGCGCATTTTCCGATAGGTTTTTCATAGAATATTTTTTTGTAGATTTTTCGGCACATTCTCAACTGATACGATGAGATATTTCTAATTAACTGATTTTCTAGCAGATTTTCTAGAGAATTTCTTGAGACTTTTCCCACGAATTTGTTTCCGACAGATTTAAAAAGTTCTTAGAAAATAATATATTCTTAATTAACAATTTTATAACTTATTTTAAATATTAATTTAATAATTTATTTTGAATATTTGAAAAATATGAAAAGCCGTATCGAACCACGCTGGCAAAGAGGCGGCACTGGCAAGCTGGCAGGTAGGCTTGCAGGCAGTGTGGGGGGACTAGCAGGAAGGCATATGGGCAACATGGGTTGGTAGCTTGGCGAGCAGATGTTTGGGCAGCCATTATGGGTTTATTTTCTAAAATATTTTTATACTTATTCCAT